GACTGGTATTGGACATATGGGTTAATGTTGGAGTTGTGGGCTTGGGATGGGATGTTTTCTTGATGCGCACTTAACCTTAAAAATCTCTCTTATACATGAGTTGCTGTGGATTTGTTTCTCTAAAGTACCCAGACTAACACAGTACCACAGGTAATTGTGAATCAAGTGACCATAGACCACACCTTGAGAAATGATATGTGCCCCGGGGTGCTAATCCACGGTCAATGGGAAACTGCAGAAACAGCTTCCCTAACATACATTATTGTGCCTGCCCTAGATAGCCCCTTTCTTTGGACAAAATGCCCAGTGATACATTTTTTTAAATTACATGTCAGGATACATGTATAGTATGTTCCAAAGTCCACTAAAAATAATGCTATGTGAGTTTTAAAATACTTGCTATGAGCTTGGTAAAGTGGAGGGGCCGTGAAAAAGAAGACACTTGACAAGACAGATTGACAGTGGCTGCAACACGGCTCATAACAACTGTGGTAACTGGATAAACACAGTAACTATACACAGGACTGGGCGATGTTCCAGTCTATTGTACATAGGATTTCTGTCTCCAAGGTCAGTGATAGTGACCATTATCCAATTAACCTCTTACTATCAGTGGTTGTGCCTTATAAGCAATCTGATAAAAGTTCTGAAAGGTTAAGTATTTATTTTCATTATTCCTATTTTCCAAACAAGGAATCTCAGCTCTGAAAATTTAAATAATTTTCCTAAAATTACACAGCCAATGGATAAAAGAACCGAGAGATACTGACTCCAGAGCCCCAATGCTTAGCCATGGTTCCATGAAAACACTGGGGACAAATGATCACAGAGTGTGTACAACACAGCAGGAGAGCGTGATGCTGCAGCAGACCTCAGGCACTACTGACTAGAATTCAAACAGCATCCAGAAACATTGAACACATCATACTGAGCAAAATATCACAAAATGACAAATATTAGAATTATGAAATGTCTCATGGAGGTTAGATTATTTCTCAACAAGCTGATAATGCTTCCTGTAGAGTGGACCAAGGATCTATATAAACTTTAGATATACAAATTGGTTTTGAGCTCTCTTAATTGTAAGCCTTTTAGAACAATTAGTTCAATGTGGTCCTGCTTAATATTTGCCTTCATGAAGTTAGCCCTAAAGATATGGGTGTAATAGTAAAGTGTGTTAATGAAATCAGGTGGTACCCTGGAGTCTTAAAGGCTTGTCTTAAAACAAGCAGCCATGTAAGTGTGCTATCAGTAAAATTGTTTTAGCTTCTATTACCTTTGCTTTTTCTTGGATTGAGATTTTTCTGAGTTTTATTTTTTATGAAATCATTTTATTGGGGACTCGTAGAACCCTTATCACAATCCACACATCCATCCGTTGTGTCAAGCACCTTTGTACATTTGCTGCCATCACCATTCTCAAAACATTTTTTTCTACTTGAGCCCTTGATATCAGCTCCTCAGTTTTTCCCCTCCCTCCTCTCCTGAGTTTTATTTTGTCGTCGTTGTTAGTTTTATTTGTTTGGTTTTTTTTAATGGTATGACTTTCTTTACATGAAATCCAAGCTAGTTAATCCATAAAGACAGAACTTAATCAATAGTTCCTTGGTGTTATAGCAGGGGAAGTTGGGTGGTAACGGAGAGCTAATGATAGGTATGAAAATTAAGAAAACGTTCTAAAATTGTGGTGATAACTGTAAAATCTTAAGATACACTTAAACCGTTGAATTGTAAGATACATGAATTTATATGCCAATAAAACTGTTAAAGTTATATCAGAGAAATAGATCATTACCCAGTGTTTTAAAAGGACAAATATATGTCACACTTATATAAAATAAGCAAAAAGTTTGTGGGAAAATTTCATTATCTTTTCATTCCTTTTTTCCTGTGAACTTTTATAAAGAAACCAAAGATTATTAATGGTTACCACAAGTGGGAGGGGTGGGGGAAGAGGAGGCTTTTGTTTGGGACATGACGATCATGTTAATATTGGAGGGCATAGTAGGTAGCTAGCCAATGGTAGCAACATGGGATGCTAACCGCAAGGTCAGCAGTTCAAAAATCACCAGCTGCTCCAGAGGAGAGAGGCTCTCTAATCCTGTAAAGAGGTCCTGTCTCAGAAACCCAGAGAGGCAGCTCTATGCGGTCCTGTTGGGTCACTTTGTGGGGATCCACCTGATGGCTGGCAGTGAGTTTGGTTTTGGTTGGAAGAGTGACAATGATGATACAGTGCAGTCACTGTCACTGAGCTGCAAATGTGGAAGTTGTGTTGGTGAATGTTTCGTGAATATGTTCTCACCACAATTAAGAGAGAAAGACAGAGGGGAGAAACGGAAAAAAGAAAAGAAAGCAAGATCTCCAGGGTTCTATCCAAGTCAAAATGGTAGTAACAGCTTACCTACTGAACTTCCCAAAATTCTCTTACCAGAACAGAGCAATTAGGGTAACAAACGAAAAAAAAAAAAATCACCAACATCTTTGATAACACTTGGTGATAAAAGTCCCTTCCAGAACTAGGTTATGTGTGTAGCATCAAATCAAGGGCAGTGTCAAGACCCTGGCAGAACCAGCATCTGCGCAGGGGATAAAGAAAGAGTAGGAGGTATGGTGTCCCAAGAGCCCCAGAACAAGAAACAGTCAACAATTCATCTTACCCCCATAGAATCCAAATCTAAATGTGAAACTCTCAAAAACAGATGGGACTGGAAGACCTCATAGGTTCAATTTTCAAGTATTAAATGACAGTGGAGAAGCAAAGCAAAAAAAACAACCTCTCATTGCCATCAGATCAATTCTGACTCAGAGCAACTCTACAGGGCAGAACAGAACTTCCCCTGTAGGTTTCCAAGGCTGTCTGTCCATTTTTACAGACCCAGAAAGCCTCATCTTTGTCTTGGGGGAGTGCTCGAAGGAATAGAAGAGGTTGCCAGGGTGTACTAAACCCTTAAGACTTTCTCAAGTATCTGAAAACCTCTTGATAGAAGATTAATCTGAGGAAGAGCTGTTGGGAGAAGAATCCAAAGTGGGAGGAGCAAAAATGCATTGGGTAAAAGGACAGGGAGTAGGATGGTACAGACACTGTGGGGAGGGGGCCACAGGAGGCACACCTCAAAAAGAGGCTGCTACACAGGGCAAGTATGTAACTAACCTATAGAGCAGAGTTGAACTGTTCCACAGGGTTTACAAGACCACCAGTCTTTATGGAAGCAGACTGCCTCATCTTTCTCCTGTGGAGTGGCTGATGGGTTCGAACCACCCACTTTTCAGTTAATGGCACACTGCTCAAACTGTTGTACCACCAGGGCACCTTCATGTCAGGAAGCACACCTGTCAATAAAAGGTGGAAGGAGGCAAGCGCATGAAAAGTAGAAAA